GATCCTCACTGTGCCTGGTTGGAGACACTACAAGATATGGTTGCCAACCGATGTCAGTGGCGTTCTTGTTGTCAGTTTCTATCCAGATTGCCTGAGTGAATGTCTGGAGGTGTAGGCACCTCGGAATGATTGTGTTAAGCTAGCACTAAGTCCCTCCCCCGTCCACCTTTATTCTTTTCTTTACAATAAGGCTTTCAAATAAGTCATGGTTGTACGGCAGTGAAGCATCGGTGTTCATCATCATCATCAACGACAGCATGACATCAGTGCTCAACACCAATGCTTCACTGCCGTTGAACACTGATGTCATGCTGTCGATGATGATGATGATGATAATGATGATGATGATGATGTGCGAGCGAGCCAAAAAGTGAGGAAATCCTTCGAAGCTTATTCGATTACGCTGTGGACAAACTGCCTGTCTTTTGCAAGGAAAATAAGGGGTATTTGATGATGATGCGAGCCAAAAAGTGAGGAAATCCTTCGAAGCTTATTCGATTACGCTGTGGACAAACTGCCTGTCTTTTGCAAGGAAAATTACAAAGGGGTATTACGGTCCCCGGTGTTGATGCGTCATAACGGCTTCATGGCAGCGGAACGATAGAACGACCTGGGATCCGTGTGGCACCTTAAGGCATCAAAAAACGGAGCACACCAACCCCATTCATGTGAGAACTTGACTGACCCTTCGAAACTTTTACAATCAGCTACAGCAAACAGTCGACAAAGTGCTGGAGTGAAACACAACTATTGCCAGGAACATGGACACACGAGGAATTTGTTTATTTTATGGCGAAATTAGGCACTGGTCAGCGATGCGACAATGGAGGATGGCTTTCGAATTGCCAGCTAGCCGATTAGTAGAGTAGCAACGCATACTTCACAAACCCGAAGAAATTGTTACTTCGTAGTACAATGACAGGACGACTATAGTATGTATAAATCCGGCTACGCTGGACATCTTGTCTCTCTGTGATAGACAGCCCGATAACACTCGTGGTACAGATTACATTTTTCTTTGCGCTTGGCTGACAAGCTACCTAACTTTACGTTGAAAGTTCTTTACCTTCAGAGTAGTAAAGTCCTTCCGCCAAATTCATTGGAAAAATGTCAATAGGACATCGAAACTTCCAAGTGAACCAATTACAGATCATCCAAATCGCCGGTTGATTTGAAAGCATACAGCAGGTTGCTTAGATTGAAGTTATCCAACACCCACAAGACTGAGACAGTTACTCGTCATTTACATTTTGTCCTCCATTTTGCAGCAGACCGGGTAATGCAGAGGGGCTTTCTCAATCTTGTCCAGCTGTAACACCCTTCAGGTGCCTAGTTGCCATGCCACCAGAGGAAAGCACGAGGACTGGGATACTGCGAGGTTGCTCAAGCCTAGACAGGGAAAGTCGAGAGGCAGAGGTTGGGTTCGAACCACGGACCATCCAGTCGGTAAATTCGCGCTCTAACCACTGAGTCATCTCGCCCCGCTTGCTCACTCTCCGGACGCTCTGCATCTCCTTACAGCCTGGCGAAACACTTAAGGTGAAAGAAATGGCGCTTGGGTATGGTATCGCATTCAACCAATTCTCGAAACACTAGCCAGAGACGAGGTCTTGGTTAATTTGAATAGCATCCACGATGCGCTCCTGGAACCTACAGCTTGCCGCTTCCCAGAGAAACAAGTATTCCGAAGGCCAACGTCCACGTCAGTCAATCTGTCACTTGATTTGTTCCATGTGTCTGCGATACAGGGTCAATATGCATTTTAGACGTCCGAAAAATTGAGGTCTTCCACCACTGGTGGCTGAAGCCTTTCAGAGTACGCCCTCCAGATCGTGAACGGAGGGAAGGTCCCATACTGAGTGCTTGCACCTGCAAATCTACTTCACTGAAAGAGCACTGAACTGACATCTGCGAAAGGCTTGTTATCAATCGCTTTGTTTGGACAGCTGCGGCCTAAGATACTCAAGAAACTGACCCATCCTCACACACGAGATAGCTGAAGTAAGGTGAAAGCACATCGACCCGTTGAGCATTTTCCAAACAAGAGTGTAAGCCGGAGCCAAGAACCTTACCCATGGAAGGCACTTTTCGCTGATATACCATGATTAAGTGTTTTTTAGCCATTTGTGGTGTACATATACTGATTGCGAGTTCCTGGATGATAGTACTGATCGGAATATTTGCAAATCGGAAGGTGCCTCGTCTTTGGAGAAACAAAGAATTTGAAATACTTGTTAGTCGGTCTCAAGGTTAAGCAAAAACAAGGTTGAAAGTGCGTAGCTGAAACTTACAGCGCATCTCCATAGCATATAGGTACACGATCATTCTCGGGGATTCCCCATGCGTTTTCATGCGCACGAATGCTTTGCTCGAAATCCCCTCGAAGTTCATGGAAATACACTTTCAGTAGCTGTAACAAAGAGCATTTAAAAAGTTGTGAATAAAGCAAACAAAAAGTCTCGTAAACAGCAGGTACATACAACAAAGAGCATTTAAAAAGTTGTGAATAAAGCAAACAGGAAGTCTCGTAAACAGCCAGGTATATACAGATAACTCAAGAGTGTCATTAACACTCTTCAGAACCTTAGCCTGAAAAAGGTTCACCATCACAAGCTACCTTCCTCTGCCACAGCAGAAGACGGTTTATAGTGGAAGCCCAACCCAAATAAGACGGTTTAGACTGGTGAAAAGTCGGTGAAGGTAGATAGAACACGAGCGTGTATGAGGGACATACAGTCCATATGCGCTCAAACCATCTAGCCATCCAAATTACCACGTTTTTATATATTGAACTTTAAAATACTCGTGCCACCATGCATACGAGCAAGCCACATTGGATGTGTCATGTCTTTACAGTAGGAGAATTACTACGCTACATAAAAAGTCCCAGGTGGCTGGTTATCTCTCCCTCTGTAAATCATGATTGCGTTTGTCATCAAGGATTCGATAGCCTTATAAAGTGGGACTCGAAACTCCAAAGCATTCAGGACATCTACCTCGGAATAGCAAAAATATGTCTGACGGACAACTAAATTTAGACTTTCATTAGCAAAAAGGGTTGGGCGAATTGACGAGAGGGTGTACATCAGATAACATGGAAGCGTCAAAGGCGGACAAAACTGAATCGAGGAGATGAAAAGAACGATGGAGACCGAATACCACTGAAATTCCATGAGTGCGCTAAAGAACTAACAAACACGGGACCGCGGGCGGATTAGCGCGCAAGCTGCTAGTCTGAGAGATTCGTTTCTATTGTTGTGACGACTGCTTCCTACAAGACCGAAACCGTTTTCCGGGTATAGATTTTCCGTGACTTATCACGATTCTCAGGGGAATAGCAAGGAGAATACGTACTGATGATCGACAACTGGATATATTAAAAGGACACTGTCCACGCTTGGAAATGTAAATAATCACGCCTATGTATCCATTAATCGACATTTGATTGCTGAAGGCTGCACAATTTTCAGGCTTTTTCGGGTCCTTTCTACGTTCCACCTTCAAATCAGCTTTCCTAATAGGAGTTCATGGCTTCAGGTAACCAATCACCAAAGACACTATGACCAAAACATACGGGTGCATATTTGATGATCTAAAGACTGAAATGAATGCCACGTGCACCAGCCACCACACTGTTTAATGCTCACAATTGGGTCAGCGTTTCACAAGTAGGTAGGTGATACAAGACCTAGGAGAAGTGACGGCATACGGGTTAATCAAACCTGCAGAGAAACTCACCCTCTGTACAGTGCCAGGGTTAGGACTACTTAATTTCACACTGGCAACTGGTTCAAGGATGTCGACTGTAATGTCCGAAACCTCTCCTCGCTCCAGTAATTTCAAGAAGGTAGTGTAGGAAACAGGGATTGGTAGACGAACTAGAACCAACGACAATGAATAATTGAATAGAACGAAAGAGAACAGGGAAAAAGTTAACACCAAGAATTTGGTGGTGCGGTCCGGAGGAGGTAGGTCTGTAGGTTTATGCGGACGTCCAGAAGCTGCAAAATAGTAACAATAATGGTTATAATAATGAACGGGAACATACCAAAGGTCCGCAACCAGAAACCAGCCTTCTTCGAGCCCTGAAGGCAAGGAAAACGAACACATCTCCAAAGGTTTCTACAGGGCGCGAAGGATGCCGAGTTCCGACCAATCAAACACAGTGATGATATTACTTCCCTTGAGCGTAAGATTCTCGGGTGACCGGTGAGAATTCGCCTGAGTAAGAAGGTGTTCCACATCACAAAAAAGTTAGCATCTAAAAAAAGCCAAAAAAATCCCGAAAATAAGAGAAGAATGATTAAGCTGAACACTTTATTAGTCACGTCAGCTTTCGGGTGAAACCTCAGCGCACAGCCTGGAAAGTAACACTATCGGGACTAGTCAAAATCGTGCATTCCCTGGGAGAGGGTGTTGCTTAGGTGACTGAAATCAAGCTGAATGTTTGAACTCCGAATGGTCCGATTATCCATCCGTGTATGTTTATCACGACCGACTATGGCGCTGAGCAGACAAAGGACACCCCACGTTCGGCTCATCCCAGTTTGTCACTTACAAGCTGCATAATAAATAAATTAACGATAATAATCGATCAGGTTGAAAAAGCTTTTGGTGCATAAATGTCACTTTACCCGAAGGAAGTACGAGGATGGATACACTGCAAAGTTACCTAAGCAGCCAAGATTCAGATGGCAGTTACGAACAAGGGACCCTCCAATCGGTAAGTCTGCACAGGGGAACAGAGCTAGGTTGCGCTCGAAACATAACTCATATGGTAAGGGATGCTAGTTCCGGCTATTATGGTTTTAGTAACCGGAGAACGGGACAGAGAGGATAGCGGGGAAAATGAAGCCAAGTATTCGAGTTGGTGACAGGATCAGTTAGTTTATACGGTGTAATAACATGAAAGAACAGTAAACTGGGCAGGTGCAGATTGCAAACCACATCTTCGATACACGAATACTAAAAGCGTAACTGAGTACTCTTTGTCAGCGTCACTAGGCATTGATGAGTTGAGTTCCCGCGGCAGTTCTCGACCTGACTCAAATCACTGGTTATTGTTTCAATACTTCGTTGCCAGGTCGTGAACTGTCTGCCTCTCGGTCCCTTCTGCTCAGAACAGGGATGAGAAGAGCGCGGCGGGGCAGACGGCAATCTGGCATGCGGAGTACATGCCCCAACCAGCTTAACCTATGAAGCTACCATGTCGATTGGCACATCTGGATGCATGAGGTTTGGGTTTGAACCGACCCAGTCTTGTAGCAGCACTTACCACTTTGCAGAAGTGAATCGCATGCCAAACCATGCGGCAGAATTATTTAGCCCAATTAAAATTGCTTATATTGGTTTTTGGGGGACCTGTGTCAAGGACAGCAATGTCACTCGCATACCGACGAAACTCCTAAGGGTATTTGTAGAGGCGGGCGAAGAAATTGTCAATAACTAAGTTGGAGAAGAAAGGTGACAGCAGCCTCGTCTTACACCAATGGACGTGCTAGACACCACTAAATTTCCGAAGATCGACAGAGTCAAAAACAGTTTCAAGATCCAAACAAATACCAATCTAGGTTTGAAAGAGTGGCCTGCTCAAGAACTTGTCTAAAGGTAATCACCATCGTCGTCATCGACAACATAACATAACACTGAGGTCATCCGGACCAGGGACTCGGAGGCGCTTGAGGACATATGCATAAACCTCCGAGGTCGCAGACTGCTCCACGTTTACCGTCGGTAACTGATAGCAAACTGATCAATTTGAGTTCTTAGCCGGCAGGGTTTTGGAGGACATCGTGTGGTCGGATGACTTCGGTTATTCCAGAGGCTAGTAGTGCAGAAAGATAAAAACCGTTCAGCCGTAGCGCCTTTTTGGTTCCTAGCTACCATGTCACCCGAAGGAAGCACGATTGCTGGGACACTGCCAGAGTGTCCAAGCCCAGGCAGTAAAAGTCGAGATGCCGAGGCCGAATTCGAACAACGGACCTTCCGAGTGCATCTATCGAATGTTCCATAAAAGTAAAAATTAATCGTCCAGCTGTAACACCCTTTCGGTGTCTAGCTACCATGCCACCCGAAGGAAGCACGATTGCTGGGACACTGCCAGAGTGTCCAAGCCCAGGCAGTAAAAGTCGAGATGCCGAGGCCGAATTCGAACCACGGACCTTCCGAGCAGTAAATTCGCGCACTAACCACTGAGCCGACTGGCTCCCTCAAGAGCATCATAGATAATGAAATATGCAAAATACAACATGCAAATGAGGGATGATGTGGCCCGGGAGAGTTCACTCAAAAAGTGAGTGTACGCCTGCAGAGGACTTCAGTATTCTAGAGGCTAGCACTGCATAAAACAGACTGTGGTCAGCACATAGTTGAAGCAGTCGTTCACCTCTCTCCGTACTGAGTTTCATGGGAGCCAGTTGGTTGAAGCAGTCGTTCACCTCTCTCCGTACTGACTGATTTCATGGGAGATAAGCCTCCTCAATGGCGCATTCAGATCCCAGGCACTCACAAGATATTTGAGATTATAATGCGCCGTAACAGGGCATTCAGGTCGTTACAAAACTTGTCTTTGGTGGTGCCAGGGCTGCAATCGGTTGGTTCGTAAACGGACGGGACAGACAGCAGCGACCAATTTCCCACTTGAGGCACTCCTTCAAGGACGTTACCAGAAGAACCGCACACAGGCTACTATCAACGGGCATTAAGCAAAGCAAATAACCTGTCGACCGGTGACTTAGGATGACAGCAACCCTTGTACATCCTGTCGCAGTGGCCCTAGCAGCACACGCAGTCCAAAATAACCGAGTTTTCCAGTTACACGACAGTTATAACCACCTTTTACGGTTAACAGATGGTTATTTGCACCAAGATAACCGTCAAATAACCACATCTTCCGGTTATTGAAAGGTTAAATAACCGTGTTTCCCGGTGGTTGGACGTCATTAGACTACATTTCAAAGGTAAGTAATGGTGAAATCACCACCATGTTACCGTAAATCTTCTTCCAATCCCTATCTGCTCAAATCGTCGGCGGTCGAAACCGTGTTAGGAAGGATTCCGAACCCAAGGCACTCCAACGCCTGCAGTTAGATATTTCTACGCCTAACCGATATGCGATTGGCCCTCGGGTCATCGACAAGTGACTCTCTGATTGGCCGAAATGCAGAGTTCACGGAATCACGGATTCACGGGTTGATATATAGGATCGAGGCTTTTGTCTAAGTTTCCCGGGTCGGTTTTGTTCTTGTCGGTAAGTGGCTGTCGTTCGCCTGAAAGGTACAAGTGAAAAAGGGTGTAGCACTGCTCTTCATGTTTTCAGCGCGGGGCAGTATGATTTCCTGCGCGAGGACTCGCATAAATAAATGTTTAATAGTGCTTTAAACTGGGTTCTAGAAGGAGCGTGGACAATCGTCGGGGGCAGGTCATTCCACACAGCTACTGTCCCAAATGAGAAAAAATATTGCCTAATGAATGTGTGCACTCTGAGCTTGAAAATCTTCTTACTATGTCCCCGCCGTGTGTTTGCTGGGTCAACGGTGAAAAACCTGTTTGCCAGGCTTTGTTCAAACAGAGCATAAGTAAGAATGAGGTCCCCTCGGGGGAGGCCGGCAACCTTTTTCGTAGCGACTCGCTGGATACGCTCAATGAGGGTGACGTCTTTCGTGCGTCCTGGGTAGAAAACTTGGCGTATTCCAGGAGCGGTCTGACGTAGGCTCCATAGAGTATTTGGCAGTCCATGTGAGTAATGCGGGAGAAGGTGTGTCGGATCATCCGTAGAATGGTGAATGCTTTTTAAGTCTATTTCTCATGGTGCAATGAGAAGGATAAGCTTGAGGAGACCCAGATACCCAAATCCTTTTTGGCATCTATCCTCATGATGTTTCGTGGTCCTTTCTCACCATGCATAACAAAGGCATTCGCTGAGTCTCCTCCAAAAGACATATGGACGCACTTTTCAGAGGAAGGTGCCAGTCCAACGATGACTGCTTGACAGCGTCAACATCCCTTTGGAGGGCACGGGCATTGGTACTCCAGGATTTCAAGTCGTCCACAAAAAGGAGACATGGACTCGCAAGAACATCTGGGAGGTCATTGACGTAGATCAGAAACAGCACTGGTCCCAGGACGGATCCTTGAGGAACTCCAATGGAGACCGGCGCTGGAGAAGAGTAGATAGAGCATAGGAATGATATCTGATCTGGTGTAGGATTTTCCCTTGAATCCCGTAAGACTCTAGTTTGTGGACCAGCGTGGTGTGTGGGACCAGAGGAAGAGCTTTTGAGTCGTCAAAAAAGGCATCCTATATTAGTCCTTCGCTTGTTTGGGCTGTCCATATGCGATGATTGTAGTCTGAATGCTCTTTCGTCTACTTCCCATCGACTGCGTGGTTAGTGTGCGCAGTATGGTCATGTGATTTAGGCGGATTCCGTGTATCAATGTAACACGAATGGTCACAACCTGTGGCAGTCACCCACTGTAATGGTGTGGGACGAAATATGCTATATTCCTTTTCCAAGGAATGTTGTGATGCGGAAAATTTTGTGCGAATGATTCCTCCGATGAAAGCTGTTAAAAGGAAAATAACTTGCAGTTATATAGCTTGAAGTCAGCTATGCCGTACTCCGCTAAAACTTTGTGTACTTTCCATGTATTACAGACCTTCAAGGTTGGGATTCATGCTGTGTCTGTAATCCGTTGCCACATTTACCATTCTTCCTGAACTTAAACCACACTTCGTAACTGTCGTCCACATTGTATCATGACGTCTGTTTTAATGTTACGAATACACAATTTTCCGGTGCGACCTTATTCCTGACGCTCTAGGGGGGAGTACTGTAGTGTCTGTAATCCGTTGCCACATTTACCATCCTTCCTGAACTTAAACCACACTTCGTAACTGTCGTCCACATTGTATCATGACGTCTGTTTTAATGTTACGAATACACAATTTTCCGGTGCGACCTGCTGACGTCTTGCTGAGCGAGTGTATTTATGCTCCGTTGAACTGCTTGTCGACTGTTGAACCAGTGGGACTAAATTTCTGTGTTTGTGTCAAATGTTGAAGGTCACAATAAATCCGTGGCATTTCTGAGCCATGAATAATTTTCCTACCGTGGAACATATCACGCACGCGGAACCATCTGTATGGGGAAATTCCGACAAGTGAATAGTTCCTTTCACAGCCAGTTACTGCATTTGGATCGGTGTAGTGGACTATTGGATCTACACATTCGTCAGTCCCCATTTGACTACTCATTCCTTTCCTAATGTGATTTTGTGGTTTTGTATTGGTTACTTTGCTTGTTAATTTATCCAAACAGGCTGATAATGTCCTAGTCCGCCACATAATTGGTGAGCTCGAATCGTTCCTTAATTTTTGTTTGTTTGCTTGTTCTAGGAGAACGGCGCATTGTGGAAGTGCAAGCGAGTTCGAGGTCTATGCTACCAGCGCCAGAAGCCTGAACCACCGCGAAGTACGGTACCATGGCAGTGCACCGTAAGATGTAGCCAATGACGTCACATATTGACGCTGATATCTGCGGTGCCTGTAATTCATCAAGGAGCGCCCGTGAAAGGCCGATGGAAGCTTGGGTACAATGCAACTACTGTCACGTTTGGACGCAGTGAATTTGCAGTGGCAGTTTGCTTAACAAGCCGGGTTTCCTTTGCCCCATGTACAATCGGCTTAACCGGATATCGGAGTGAGTTTCTCAGGTAAATGCACTTAAGGAGACGGAGGTAAGTTTTGTTTATTAAATAACTTCATATTTGTTAACTGTCCTGTCTCGTTGGGTAGGTGGGTGGCGGGTGGGTTTCCTTCTGCCGTAAAATCCATTTTCTCCCCAAAGTGGTGCGGCAGTGGCAACCAGTGTGTGTTTTTCACGCAGGCTGGGCAAACCGGGCTCTGGTAATTTTCATTAGGTTGCCTTTAACTAATGCTTTTCCCTCTAATTCCAGATACAACCGCGGAACATATTTTTGACGATTCTGTAATTTGCTTGAAATCAGTCGCAATAAAACTGTTTCCTAACAAATGGCTCCATACTTCTCGACAACGCAAGCCTCAAAGCAACCAAGGCATCTAGGCCTTGCCTTGAGACCAAGTTTGCTTAGGTGAGAAAAGGGGGCGTAATTTTGCTTTTCCGTCTATAACCTCAGGGTAGTCCCGAAATTTAGTGTTTCTAGGAGGGCAGGATCGCCACTATCAGCATATGTCTAGTAATGTGTGCAGAGGATCGGCAGCCTACACGTGTCTGAGACACTCAATATGCCTCACGGGTGCTTCACTATAAAGTGGTGCTTGGTACACACCATCAAAAGTGAAATTTATTCAAGCCGAAGATTCCGGAACTGGGCACACCGTGGACTTGCTGCCTGATCGGTTGTCATTTTTAAAGCTTGTAGAACTGCCAACGACAAATGGAAATGCTTTCTAGCCACAACTGAGATACCAGTGTTCCGCGTCAACACTCATGGCATAAGTAAGCAAGCGTAGCCGGCACTGTTCACTAGATACCTCAACAATTACCTACGTTCTAGGCTTTCAGGTGATTGATGAGCCTATCCTTGTGTCCAAAAATAATACTGGTTAAAGGATGAACTACCAGAAATAGAAAATCGGTGACCAGCTCCGGCATAACTGCAGACACTAGCATTGATCCTTTGGCTGAGAGGGATGCGCTGGTAGTTCCGTAATTATAAATCAGAGTTGGGGATGTCCACGATCACACCGGTTCTCACGTCAACAGAACTCAGTTCGCATAATACGTAGCTTTCGAGGTATGCATACAAGGAAAAGTTACACGTATGTTACTCGTTTTCGTCGAAAGGCTAACCGTACCATAGTCACTGATCGATGCTGAAAGAAAACAGTGAACATGCCAGCAAGAACTGCTAATGTATGCTATCCTATTTACCCACTGCCTTGCTACATACGTTATTCACAAATATCAACTTCCTTTTGTCATACCGCTATATTTAGAGACAACATGTATGACTACACCTGTCAAAAGCCTGCTATTTTAAACTACTGAGAATTGCATACTTTCTGCTTTTACTAAATTTGTAAATCTGTGAGCAATGTTAATTTCCACCAGATATAACCCCATTATAATTCTCTGCTTCGTGCAAGGGGGTAAATCATAAACCTCAAATCCGCCAAGTTAATTTTTGAGAATGTTCCCGCCATAGATATTTCAGCCAATCAGAAGCGGGATTACACCGCGATACACTTGATGGTAACGAAGTGTGCTCTCGGCATCCAATAATAGCTAACCTTTTACAGAGAGCCGGGTTCAGAGGCCGCATTCAGGTGCCGTCGGAAATTCCAGAATGTCGTCGCCTGATATGATTTTTATGAGACAGCCTTCGCCTGAGTTCCCCACCTATTTCGGGCGTTTGTTATTTCATCGTTGGTAGTTCTTTAAATCAGAACGCCTGCGAGAAAGGATCAGCCACCGCCACAGAGGAACAAGGAAAACACCTATATTGATGACCGCTCCTCTTCAACTAAGTTTTTGCACTTATGCCTGACATTTAACCACCTGCATGTAAATCAACTCTGACGGCAGAAACTAAGCATCCGTTCACGGATTCACTGAGTAGATAATACTTTCCTTGACCAAGGCCCCCAAAAAACCAGCACAAGCAATTTTAATTGGACTAAATAATTCTGGCGCATGGTTTGACATGTGATTTACTCCTGTAAAGTGGTAAGTGCTGCCACAAGACTGGGTCGGTTCAAACCCAAACCACATGCATCCAGATGTACCAATCGACATGGTAGATAAATTTCTTCCCCTAGACAGCCGCCTAAGTTCTCGTGGGTTGTTTGGAGATGAGATTAATTCTGAAATCTGGAAGGCCAGCGCAACCTGTTCCGGCCCCGATACCCATAGAGCCGGTGTGACGTCAGTCTGTCTGTCAGAGGTGGAGTTCGAATTGCGGCAGTTTGATTCATACTGCTTTATGAACCAGAAACTTGGTCTCTACAGACAGGACGTATGAAAGCTTTCAATGTTTTATCATCGGTGTCTTTGAATCATTTGCCTGTTCAGGTGTGAACAATGGATTAGCGATGCTGAGGTATGCCAAATGGTTTCAGGTAAAAGAATTCTCCCAAGATAAATGAATTATTCACGCTTCATAGGTTATGCTGGTTGCAGCATGTACCCCGCCAGAGTGCCGTCTGCCACGCCAAGCTCCTTCTCTCATCCCTGTTTTGTTCGGAAGCGACCGATACACAACCAGTTCATGACCTGGCAACGAAGTATGGAAAAATAACCGGTGATTTGAGTCAGGTCGACAACTACCGCCCCCTATATGGGAACGTGGGAACTCAAATCATCAATACTATTTGACTCTCATTCCGAAGTTTTCTGATCAAACATCCGGTGGCCCAGCAGGCCACGGAGCTTTTTTGTCCACCCTTGCGTTGTTTACCAGTTTTCAAACTAACTGTATTAAACGTTGGCTAGTGTGCTGTTCTGTATCTTGCACGCTGTCCTTATTTTTTGTGGTAGAAGTATTTGCTGGTTCAACTTATACCTCGTCGAGTATGAGAGCCAAGAATTCGCTGCTTAGCAGCGTTCAAGTGAGCAACCAACCCTGATTGGTTGGATTGATTGTCTCTTATATTTCACATTTTAAGTCCCGAAGCTCGAGACCTTCTTGTCGCCTGTGCTTACGCGCAGGAATCTACACCAATGTCAACGTCAAGACAGCTTTTTAAGGAGGCCTTCTGAAGACTCCTGCCGTTTACCGGTTTTCGTATAAGAAGAAAGTGCCTAGAGATTTGGATATCCATTTTTGAAAGTCGATTACCCTAAATACTTAACTGGATTTTGGCTGCCGAGCTCCTGTTCACCCGCCGTCACCATAGTTTTGTCTAGCTAGCCGCTTTTCAGCACCTCCGATGCAAACATATATACATATCACGGACGTGAACGTGGTGTCGTATTAGCCACGTAACTTTAATGCTCCCGTGTTCTGGACCCTAGGTCCACTTGGACCGTTTGTGCATATTCAGCTTTTGCTCTATTTCCTATCATTCAGCGCGTTGTTTCGCCAGCTTGGAAGAATTATGACTTTAAAAAAATCTTTTTACTCAAAGTTTTCATGAATGAATAATGTTTCACAATCCGAATTTTGTCCATCCTCGTGTGTTTGAAAGCAAAACCAAGTTCAGGCCAAAGTCAAATTAAATCGTGCGGCGATCTAAGTCCTTGATCAACGCGAAGTAGTGGCCTACATTAACAGGTAACATAATTTGGCGAGATCTTTGAAACAACACCTAACCTGCATTCACAATAACGACCCAAAAAAATTGCGTCTAGGGTTATCCCTAATAGTCTGCAGTAGTTGCAACTTGTCGATACTCTTTTAACTTACGCAGCAGTCTATAAAGTGATCAGATAAAGAAAACGGGCACAACGGTATATTCCAATTCCCAAAACCTGTGCTTGTGTGGGAGCTGTAAACTGCTTACATGTGGTTTCATGGCTATGTTTGTAATATTCTTGTTGGTCGGTGAGTGGAGAATATATTAGTGAATACCTGAGATTACATGCAGTACCTAGCATATTCCGGTCTAAGTGCAACGGTCAATATGTCACGGGAGGATAAGGAAAGCTTCGAGCTGAAATTTGCAACGTGAACAAGTGCATACCATTGAGCATGACATTGTTGAATACCAGCCAATGCTTACAGACACGAATATGTCCCGTTTCGGAGTCACCCTACGGAGTGATGGAAGTAATCAGTAAATTTCGCCGCGTTCTAGAAGCACATTTAGAATTCCTCCAAAACTGTGGTTCGAAAAAGTTGTATCATTTGCTGGTAATTATTCAGGCACCTAAGATCTTTCCATGCGGCTTCAGTTTTATCAGAAATTGTTTAGGCGAGCTCGGAGTCCACTGTGGGTGCGGAATTCGTGTTTTAATGGATGCTGGTGGTTTGGCGCATTGTCTTTATGAGAACGGTGGGGAATTTTGTGGAAAAACTGGTTTTCTCGCGTGCTTTCATATGTATTAGAGTTGAAAATTATCTCAAAACGACCTACACAATAATCTCGCCCACTAAGTCCGCGAAAATCCGAGTAGGAGCGGCCATTCGTGACCCGGATATAAAAAATTCTTCTACGGTTGCGGCAAGCATCCCGCTGAAGCCAAGGAATTCGTCACACCTAGAAAGTCTTTTGTTGTTAGGATTGTCAGCATGCGCTATATGTGGCTTGAGGCAAGGTTTGATCTTCACCGATATACCGGGCCACCAATAGTGTCGTTGGTTGAACTGTTGGCAGAACAAGAGGACGGCATGATACGATGGACACTGCTTTCAGGTCCCTGCGCAAAGCAAACGGACTGGAATGGTCCTCTGGGTAACACGCTTTCTGTGAAATAATAGGTATATGGTGAACTACGGGCAACTCATCATGCTGGGTATGCTAATCACCATCGCGACGCCGTACTTGGGC